TATCCGAGTTAAAAAATCTACAGCTACAAAAAAAAAAAAAATCCTAATGCTTAAGATGTTGCTGATTACAGAAAATATTTCCTGGAGTAGGGAATCAGCTTTGTAATCCCAAGCAATGGAAAATACAGCATGACACAGCACCAAAATGGAGCCCTTGAGACTATATTTATCCACATGTAATAAAACTGGTTTTAATGGTATTCAGTTGCAGCATGTTCTTCTCTTTTGGCACTTGAATTTGGAAATGGGAGGAACAGTCCGAGTTCATCATTTTCCAGACACACTGCACCAGAAAAGCAAAAAGTATTTGAAGTGCCCTGACGGTACTGAGCTTCCAAAACATTGAGATGGCACTGCAGTTCTGCCAAATTCAATTTTGTGCCCTTAAAAGACCAAGGCAGGCTTTTCGGGTGACCAAACGTTGATTATGGCAGCCCAACAGTGTCTGGTTTGCCTTCAAGAGCTGAGATGGTGTTTGCTCCACACCACACGATTGGGGACTGCAAAAGGTTGAAGGTTAAAGCCAAGGAATGGCGACTTTCCAGTTTAAGGCAAATTAGCTGTTTACCCAGAGCGAAATATTAATGGGTTTTAGGTGTCTAACTTACTGAGAAACTTTGTAAATCCTAGCAGACATTCAAATACCTCCTATTGTGTGGGTCAGGCCACCTCAGCTAGGACATGCATCTGCTAGACGCTTCACTAAGGACAGGGTGTGTAACCATTTGCCCTGATTTCAGTGGTTACTGAGGGCACACAGCATTTCTAGGACGTTTTCTGCACCCTGCAGGGCCAAATTATCAAGGGCTATTGCATGTGGTTAACACGGTGGAGCTGGAGCTCCTTCTCAGAGCTGAGAGGCCATCACACCTCTGAGAGGTAGAAAAAGCCAAGGTTTGGTCATCCTGGCATTGAGAAAAAAATGGGAGCGTAGATGGGAGCTGTGTTTTCAAACTAGAAAGGGAAGAAGAGCTCTGAAACCAAAGAAAGCATTCTTCTTCAAGGTGGGAGAGGAGCACCCATGACAGCAGGGGGAAGGCATGACAACCAGCCAGGGAATCATGGACATTCCTCTAAGTTAAGGCTTTAATCCAATTTCAGAGACTGGTGCTTTGGGCCTGCAGACTGGGAATTGCCCAATTCTGTCAAAGTAAGTGCTGAGGGCGTTGGGAAGGGAGCAAGGACCTGCCCATGGATCTGTTCAACCTGACTGAGTGTGAGCTCAAAAGAAGCCAGTGCAGATGAAGATGGGCAGGTACCACACACGCTTCAACCCGCTACTTTTGCTCCAGAAATGCCCATCCTTGGTCCTATGCCTGAAGAGAGGCCAATAACAGGTACCTGCACACCCTTCTTGTGGGAGCAAAGTGGTCTGTGTGAATGTGCTGAAGTTCAGCATCCAACAGCCCAAAAGCAACAGCAGGGTTGCTCCTCAGCCCTTGGTAATGGTTTTGGATAATCATGAGTTCAGCACTTCACAGTGGTGGCTTTTTGTAGCTGATAACACAGTAAATTTCAGGCCTGGATGCCAAATTCAGAACGGGAGGGGAGAAGATGTGGCTTCATCGGTGTATCTGTGAAGCTACACCAGCTCTGAATTTAACTCAGAACCGGGGCTGGACCAAAAAAAAATTCCAGTGGCTTGTATTTCTACATTGCAAAGTAAAGTGATATTTTACTTTAGCAAGTTCAGGTTTCCAACATTTTCTTTGAAGTACATTACTCCAAAGCCTTGCTAATGTTCCAGAATTGAAATGAAGTCCAGGCAAGAATAAGTAGTTCCTTCTGATCTCTGCTCAAGCTGTAAGTGACAATCCGAGCATACCGTCCAGTTAAACTACGCACGGTCCATTTTCCACTTGCTTAAGAAACTGCCTAAGAAGTTCAGCTCCAGCTTTTCTGGAAGGCAATCAGTGCAACAGACAACAGTAGCCCAATGCCCTATTTCTTCCCAACCTGCAGACTGAAAGAAATAATAAAGCGTTTACCACCCAAGGTAATTTTAGGATAAAAATTTCAGGTTATCACTTTCTCCAAAAGGCCAGAAAGTGATAAATGAGATGACACTGAAGAACAATAAATTGAAAGACAAATGGTGAGGAGAGAGAAACCTGAGGAAATAAAAGAGCCGGCGCAAGCTAAAATTAAAACTCTTTTTTTTTGTTTAATAGGCAAGTTTTAAATACGATTTAACTTCCCTGAACAATCAGTAAAGACTCCCACGTGCTGGGCTCAACGCTTCACCCATCCCCTGCTTGGCCAACATCAGAGCTGGTTGCTCTCAGAGTCAGTGACTGTCCGCTCCCCGAACGTGCCTCCATGAGTAGTTAGCTGCCATAGGAATATCTACAGTTACAAGGCTGATGGAGAAAACCATGACGCTTTTGCAATGTGTCCCAGGACGCGTTAAATGTCTCTTGACACATCCCAGTGGTCAGAAACTCCAAGAACATCAGAGCAGCAAAGGATGCTCAGAAGAAGGTGGATGTGGTAAGTAAAGGATCAGTGCTGGGATGCTGTTTAGCAAACAGCCATTCTGCTTCCCTTCCTTGAAATGTCCTCGTACGCCAGTTCTCCTGACAGCAGTCTTTTGGGAGCTATCTCCTGCTGACAGATGTTATACCAGCCATTGGAGGGACTGGGCTGAAGCAAGGAGGAGCTGGGAGAAGCACCCTCCCCGTTTTCCTCAGCTGTGCTCTCATTTTGCTGGGCACAATCCTTTTGTCTTCAGAGACGAAACAAGGAGCAACGTTTTTAGGAGACCCTAAGAGGGATCCAAAGCAGTTATCTAACCAGTTGCATGGACACAGCCCACTGCTACTGTCAGTAGGAAATCCAGTCTAAAACCCAGTTTTTGAATGTCTGCACCGCTACAGAACCCTAATTCCTGGATTTCTGAGAAAGAAAAGAAAACCATTTGATGCAGAGGTGACTATTTTTCCCTTCAGTTGATTAAAACTTGAACAAGATCTTCAGTACAAGACAACAGTTGAGAACAGATCCAGTCCTGCTGATCTCCCATGTAAGAACATTTTTGATGAAGTCTCAGGAGTTGGCAGGGTCTGGCCCAGCCTGCAGCCGTTGCACCCATCACACTCCTCAGTGGCAAATCAGGAAACTCACTGAAAGAGAGACTAGAAAGTCCCCAGCGATGCACGGCAAACAGAGTCAGTACTTCTTGCCTAACACATGCCCTAGGGCAGATACAGATGTAGTCCAGAATATTTATTTCTGAGGCTTTCCTTCTTCAATCCAAAGAACTTAAGGAGGAAACTGATGAAGGAGAAAGCAACATCTATAGCCTGGTGTTGGTCAGTAGGTTTTTCTGAGCACACGGTGGTCAGCAGGATTATCTGATCCAAGTTTGCTCTCACCATGTGGTAAGTGCTTGAGGTGGGAGTTATCTGGCCATAAGCACTGCCTTCAGATTTAGGGCTAGAAATGGCATTTCTTTTTGAAGAGGTCTCCACTGAGTGGGCTTTGGCATCACAGCACTGTAACAGAGCTGTGTACAAGTTCCAAGGTGGGTTCCCTGAGGCCAGGGAACAGGAGTCTGTTTATGGTTTGAGAACAGAAGTCTGCTGAAGTCAGTGGTTTCCTATGAAATCGGGCTAAATCTCAGCACGAACCATCCAATTCACTTTTTGCGGGAGGGATTTACTTGCACCTTAAAGTCAGAGCAAAATTCAGACTTGGTCCCAGTTCGGTTCTTGGTTTTGGGAGAATTTTACACCAATGTGATGCCGCCAACCTGTGCTGAGTTATAGCAAATTCAGGCTCAACATGTGGGACTAATGGGGTCATATATCCCAGCAAAGCAAATGGAAAATACTTCTACCATAAATACAGCTGAGGCAAACCCAAGGTGTCCGACCCATTTCTTCACCCTCCCTGGTGCTTACTCTGCTTGGCATGAAGCAAGCCCCTAGTTTCACTGGCCAGGGTGGCACTGGGACAATCTGGGGGTTTTATATAGACTGCGTGGGCCGGATCCTCAGCTGCTCTAAAGCACCGTGGCGTACGCAGCCTGAAAACATTGATGGTTTTTATTCCCACCTAGCAACCAGATTCATGAAGGTGCAAATGAAACCAGCATTCACTCAACAGTCTCATCATTAAATCTGAATAGCCTTTTTTTTTTCACCCCATGGGGCTCAAAGGCAGGCCTTTAAAGTGACTTGGATTTAAGAAGATGGGCTTGACTATGAAAGCTTTCATGCATGTTCCTTTACAAGAATGCAGTACTGTACAGACCCCATCACAGAGACATTCAGCTTATTGTGCACAGACAGCGCAGCTCAGGACGCATTACTGCGCACTAGGTCTTGTTGCACCCCTGTCAGTTCGCTGCAGCTTTGTCTGATACCGTACAGAGACCGTGGGTTGAGTCCTCTTTCATATATAAATCTCTCAGGAATAACAAACAGCGTACGACTGGTATAGCACTTTTTCCTATTGTAAGACTGGAGAGGCGGGAGGAAAAAAGCCCATTGATCACCAAGATCAAATTTGCAGTAAACCCCAGGTAATGCTACAAATGATCACTTACATTTCAATATGAAAGAAGTGCGTCAGAGTCGGCTAAAAGAAAAGTTCATGTCCAGAAAGTGGCCTAGACAAACCATCATCATCCAGAAATGTCCGATCCTTCTCCTTGGGAATGCGTCTGCCATCGGTACCTTTGTTTTAACGAATGACAAACCATCTGGTCCGTGCCGGCCTTGCACCACTGCGTAACGGGTTGGCGAGGCTCACGAGGAGAGATGCTAGCAGTCTTTTGGTGTGCTTTACAAGTACAGAAAAGTCAGTTCAATTTGTTGCTAGTTTTTTGTTGTGGGTTTGTTTTTTTTTTTCTTCCCTACAGATTCATTTCCAGTGCTTCCAATTCCACGTGTTCTTGGAAAAGAAAACGGATAGGGGAAAAAAAACCCTCGAACAAGTTGAAATGTTAAAAAAGAGATGGAACAAGAAGGAGAACAGAAAGAAATGGAGAAGTGCAGTCAGTTGGCGTATTGTGCATAGAAAGCAACTTTTACTCGCTCGATCTGGTGACACAATTTGATGGCTGGACCAAGCTTCAGCTCCATGCATTCTTGCACCGTGGGCAGTGTCAGCAACAGAAGGGCTTGGCCATCGATGTCCTGGGGAAGAAAAAGAGAGGGAAAATGGTTTTCTTTGTGGACTCTGGAGGGCAGAAAGGATAACCAGGTCTGGAGAAGCAAGAAGGGAAGTTTGCCCTAAAAATTAAAGGTGGTTTTGTCCTCTGCCCTTTTCTCCCACTTTGATGCTGCCCATCTCCTTTCTCTGGGATACCTGATGCTTTTTCAGAAGTTGTCTAGTGTGTCTTTGTAGGCTCTCACCTCGCCCCCAGTTTGGGAAAAGCCTTCCCAGCTGCTGAAATGCTGGATCACCTTCTACAGAAACTCTGCAGGGTCCACGGAGATGTGATTAGTCCCATTTTATGACTGAGGAACTGAGGCAAGGGGGAGGCTGCAGAGAGCACACCAGGAGACACAGGAGTGAGCTGAATGGAGAAACTGAAGCCAGTCCCACTGCCAAGTCAGACCCTTCCCCTACCTCTTTTGGCCCATGATTTGCTCAGCACAGGTTTCTGTCTGCCTTGCTCCATGCCGTGTCCCCTGGTCCACCCAGGACCTGCCTTATTCCACTTCAGCTGCTGAACAACCAAGACAGAGGGGTCTGGACCACCTGGAGCCCTTGCAATCTCTAATGTCCCAGAGTCACAGAATGGTGCAGGCTGGAAGGGACCTCTGGAGGTCACATCCTTCCCTCAGGCATATTTATGCACCAAACCCCGTGAACTAGCACCCCAGACAAAAGCCATTTTATTAGGGATTTCTGTTGGCTTTATGATCCTCCTCTTAATTAAGAGCTCAAGTCCTCTTTATTCTTTAATGGACTGAGAAGCAGACGAGCAGGCTACAAAACTGCTTTTTACCCCTTAGGGAGGATCAGAGTCTAAGTGCAGAAAAAGCACTGTAACTCACAGGCAACATAAACTCCCCAGGATGGCCCTGATTAGGTAGCACTGAACACAAGGATGATTTGGACACCTTAAGCACCACTTTGATCAGGATTGTCCACGGCTCAGGTTCTTCCTCCACTGAAACTTGATGGCATGGCCCATTGCACCAGAGCTTCCTTGCAAATCACAAGGAAAAGCTCCGGTCATCTGTGTTTGATTAAAGCCCCCATAAAACTCTTTGGCAAAGGAGAGACGGGGTTGGCTTTCGCATCCTGGCGTTATTCCAGGCTGATTAACAAATGGTCGGAGCACGCTGCGACACAGCGACTACAGCATCTTGCTATGGAGCGTTTCAGCCCTGCTCTAGACTTGCACTTCAACTTCTCCCAGTCAAAGCAGCTGTACTCGGCTACAGAGTTATTCATGGTGAAGAATCAGAGTTCAATGTGCAGTTGGCCATACCACTGACTGCCACTGGCTATGGCCTAATTAACCACACTTAATTCTTTCTAACTATGATTTCTTAGCGCTGCCCTTTACTTTCAGCAGTGGCTGTTACTCATTAGCCAAGGAATGGCTGTTTCTATATAAATTTTACATGTTCACACTGACTCGAGATGACGAGCATTGGCTTCTGCTCCTGCAAACCTATCTGCTTAATGGGAGATGCTTGGCATCTCCTAAAATTAGGTCATCCAAGGGCCTGACTGCCAGATCTTCAGAGGGATGAAGATGGGAAGTAGGTGTCTACATACTTGGAGCACCTAGGTGTTGGGGCCGAAATTCAGGCAGCCAGTTTTGGGTTCAAGCAGCAGTTTTCTGCTTCCCAGGCTGATTATTTTAAAACAGGGTGGAACCCATGTGGCCAGGAGAGACAATAGGTACTAAATAACCACTATCTGGTTATTTAGTGGTAAACCACTATTATTCAGTGGTACACTGAGGTGCCTGTGTGACACCAGGATGGTGCTGTGGACCTTGGCATGAACAAGAAAGGTCTAAACCTCCTGCTTTTCACAAGCACTCAGGTGCTTGTGAAACTCAGTTTCTGGTCTCTCTGAGGATCTGGCAAGGCTCCGACTCAAGTTTCCAAGGGTTTCCATGCCTTGTCAAAATTTGTGCTATAGCTTGGCCTGAGGGGATCTAAAATCTGATCATAATCTCTTTGCCAAAGCCAGGGTCCAGCTAGCAAGGTGGTATGTGCTGCTCTTTCTTTTGTGATGCGAATAAGTACCACAGACACAAAGAGAAGAGTTACATGAAGACCTCTACCTGCTCCTGAAATATTTTGGCAAGCGGTGCACAGTCGGTCAGTTTAATAAACCTCACGACATCAGTCACGGTCCACTCCAACGGATTACTGTCCAGGATGAGCTTCTCTTCCTCTTCTTGCTTAATTTCCTACAAAAAAACGAAAGCTCTCATAAAGAAAACTACCTTGTGTGGAGAACCAGGGCAGGGATGCCCTCGTCAGATGAGGAAGGCTTGACACTGAAGGTTAATTTAGGAAGAATATTGCTATTAATTGGGAGTGAAAGCCTACGGGCATACTCACTTCCTTAACTTGCGTGCACTTCTCCGCCTCGCCGTAGGAGTGCGGCTGCGGTCTCCGGCTCCGTCGGGCTCTTTCCGTGGGAGGAGGTCTGTCCGACTCGGTGCTGCTCCGCAAGGTGACCGCTCGCCGGGGCCTGGCGGAGGGGACCTCGGCAGAGGAGGTATCCGTCTGGTCATCACGGAGCTCTGAGCTGGTTTCCTCGCTTCCCGTCTCGTCCTCCATCACGTCTGGCTCATCATCTTCGCTCTCCTGCACAAGGACCATCGGAGAAACAGCATCCGGGCTCGGAGATTAATACAGCAGCAAATCGAAAGGCACTGGGTCAAACTGCATGCCCGTGCCCATGCCGGTTCAGGGTAACATTTATTTTAACTGAATTATCTCATTTTCATTACAGTACTAAGTAGATTAGCCCTCAATTTAGATTTGTTACAAAATGTAGAAGAAAAAAATACACGGTGGACAAATCCTTTTTCTGTTTCTTACAAAAGGTCAACGGCAATAAGTCATCTGGCATGAAATGTTCCTCTGTTGGGCTTGCACCTCAGACCTTGTGGCACTGCAGATGTGCATGAGAAGGGGCAATGGAAAATACTAAAAGGGTAAAATGAACCTCAGGTAGCTTGAGATGAAATAAAATCAGAAATAGGCTTGAATTTAAACCTTCACCTTGCTTCAAGTTGTCATGGGTGTCACCGGTATTGAAAGGAAGGAAATTTTGGTGCCTTTTAAAAATATCTAGATGTACAAGTGCATACCTGCACTTGATTTCTTAGCTGGCATTTCTGTAAAACCCAGGACAGACGATTTCACCCAGATTTCCCTGCTTTCAGCCAAACACCTAACTGCTGAAGGTGAAGCACAGATTTCCATTTAAAGGATATTATACCAGATTCTTGTTATTTTTGTCACACAGAGCTTGCAAGCACACACCAACTGAAGGAAACTGTGTATTTTGAACTTTACATATACGTAAGCGGCCCAAATGGCTTCGACAGCTTAGCTCTGATCAAAGTGTGAGCATGCATCCAAGCCATATGCTCAGGTCCTAAGTGAAAGAGCGATTTTAGATGAAATTAGTTATATTGGCTGAAAGGTCAAAAAACTTGGCTAATGGTCGATTTAGGCTTAACGTGAGTTTATTTCAGTTTAAATTCCTTTGAAGTGGGTATAATCTAAGGAAATGAAGCAGAACTACACCTAAATGAGGACCAAGTCGTGAAGAGGCAAGCAATCAACTGAAAGCTGCCTAAAACATCCCCCTCCAGCTGAAGTAGAGGGAATTTAAGTAAATCGGTTTTATTTCACATTGCACAAAGCAGCAATCACTGCTGAGGAAGGGAAACCACACATGAACTTTGTCATTACTATCATGGGAAAACCACCCAGGAACGGTCCACACAGAACTAAGTCTGCTCCAGGTTGTATTTGGACACGAATCATGGCTGAAGCTGGGATCTCGTCATATCACACAGCATACTGGAAAGACTGAGGCCTCAAATACCATATATTTGGGGCACACACCATCTGCTTGTTTTCTAAAGCTTCTAGCACTTCTACTGTTTGATGTTGTAAACCAAAAATATTACAAATGGTTAATGAAAAAATAAAAGCCCTTGAAACCATAATAGCCTGAAAGTTATTATTTATTATAGTATTTAGAGATCTTAGAAATGGATCACAGTCCTCCTTGACTCTGCTAGGTGCTGCAAAAAGCATCTAAGAGGCTCATCTGCCTGCCTACAGGCTTTTAGGGAAGCAAAAGTAAACAAATATATAATATTAGACAGCTTGTTAGCTAGTGAACATTACGAAGGTGGAAGCAAAACTCTATTTGCTAACTCTAGAATGGATAAGGGTAAAAGCCCCCAGAGTGTCCCAATAAAACCAGTCTGATCTCAGAAGAACAGAGTAGCAAGGAGGGATTCAAAACGGAAGATGGAAGTGTTGGGGTTTGCTGAGAAGTCCCTCAAAAGGAAGATGCAGATGGGGGGATAAAAAAGCGCCAGGGGACTTAATGATTTATCCCAGTGCCACACATACCTCTGCAGAGCCTGCAGCATTCAAATCGACAGCTGACGACCTCCTTTTCTTCTGTACAAAGATGGATTTCCGCCTTTTTCGGCGTCTGGCTGGCTTGACATGTCCACTTTTCATGTTGTTATTTTCCCCAATTGGTGGTTTAATTATTTTTTTCCTTTTCCCATAATAATAAGCTGGAGGAATGAAGCAAAATACCCATTAAAAACTTTAACTACCAAGAGAAGAAAACTTTGGCTTGCTTCTTGCTGCTGATTCAGTACTGCACTCTAGGTGCACTTTTACAAGGAACTTTAGAATACCTTGATTTGGAAAAAATGTCCAGTGTAAATATAAGATGTCATCTTGGACTAGCACAGAGTGTTACAGCTCTTACGTATACACGTTTATTGGTGATGAGTGAGGAGTTCAGAATTTAACCCTACAATATGTACTTAGGCAAAGCTTCCACTAAGCCAAGCAGTGATTTGGAAGGAGAGAGGCCAGCATGTTTCAGATTTGATCTAATGCCTTTCTGCACGAGTTAACAGTCTTAGATACACTTTCAGTTGCTAATGTTTTCAGCAGAGAGTGGAGAGGGCCAGCTATCCTGAATTATGTATGTTTGTTCAATGCACGAAGGAATGGGGTTTTATTACCTTCGAATACTTCTTGGCGCAAGCTGAAATTAAGGATGTGGGAGTCCTCTGACCTTACATTAGGGGCTTGGGTCAGGTGCCTTTTGACATGCTCTACAGCATCCCCCGGGGCTGACAGATATTCTGCCCTTCACCAGGTAGGGTATCCCGGGACATCTAAAATGGCACTTGGCACCCACGTCAAAGTCTGTAACTGAACTGAGCTTTTCATCAAACCAATGGAGTTTTGAGGAGCAATTCATCCAGCCACATCCAACCATCAACCACATCCAACCATCAGCTGGAGCTCCCCTAGCTGTACTCCTCCAGCTCTCCATTTGCTACCAATGGGAGCTAGGAGTCTAGCTCAGGTGTAGACTTCTACCGAACCCCGTATTCAGTGATCTGAGTATCTCCCTGAGCCCATTTCTTCTTCTACTCTGGTACTAAACAGAAGCTAATTAGCGTAAATCAATCATATTGGTTTCTTGCAACCTTTGTGGAAGAAGGACAGCACTCACTTCCACTTTCTTGAGCTGTGTAACAGCCAATCGTATCAGTAACATTGGCAACAAAAAGTGTTGAACACATGCCTAACTTCAGCCTTCTTGAATAGGTAGGAACATGTTTAAATATTAAACACCCTGAGCAGAGAGAGTCAATGCTACCAAACTCCTTCCAGCACCTTGGCACCGTGATACTGGTCTGTGCTGGTGCGTACGCCAGAAACTCTTCACTGAGTAGGACAGGATTCATCTCACCTAACGAAGGTGTCTCAGATGCAGCAGTTTAAATCTCAGCTGGCCGCTGCGGATTCCTTTTATGTGCTCCTTATATTAACTTTACATATGAAGAAAAGTCAAGACTTCCAAAGAGTAATGACTTTCAAACAGATATATTAGGATGGAGTGAGGTTGTCAGTTTTCTGGAGACGCCTATTTCTCTGTACAGAATACTAAGGGAGCCTATGGTGGTCTGGTCAGGATTAAAGAACTGCTCTTAGATGAGATGAATCCCACTCAATATTAATGCATTACACAACTCCTGTTCTTCATCACTAGCTCATGCACAGTCTCCCACTGCTCTGATTCCCAGCTAGCAACAAGAAGCATTTTGGCCAATACTCACTGTACTTGGTTTTAGTATGAATGGAGCAGTTCTCCGGGCAGACTTCGGCCACCAGAACAGGACTGAACAAGTTGGGGCAGCACTCCAACTTTGCACAGACTCTTCTGCAGAAATCCGCTACCTGATCCGACGTTCGCACAATCTTAACAGTCGCCCTGTATGTCTTCCCTCTGTATCTACAAAAGAGTACAAGAAGACCCCATGTCACCAATCAAGCGATGTCCTTTGATGCTACAGACCAGACTCTCATCTGCTGGGGAGATATCTTCCCTAACGACTTTTGGAAGAGTGTCTCTCTTGGGAAGGCAGGCAGAACAGGTCTACTTGTTTTAGCGGCTCCTTTTCAGACGGACTTGAGGAAGGAAAGGCAGAGTGAAATGCTCCTGGAAGCTGAGGTGTGGACATGATTTGGGGAGGAATGCATGTGCAGACTGGATATATCTGTAGATACAGCAAGAGATGGAAAAAAATCACAGTAGGCTCGGTGAGGATACTATACAGGACAGCATGCCTATACTATGAACTGATGCAAAGTTTTGGGGAGAGGGATGTAGTCTCTCCTCATATATTGATCTGCGATGAGAAGCTTATATGCTTTGCAGAGCTTTCTGGTCACCACCCTGTATGTGGGCTGCACTGGAGACTGTCTCTATAAGCCCCCAATACACCTTTGGTCTTCTCCACTGCCATCTTTCTCGAAGCAGCTCTCACATCACGTTCCAGCTCACAAGAAGCCCACAGTTTCATTGTGCCAACTGTGGTTGTATGTGGGTGAAACTGGATTGTCTGCCATACGGAGACCAGATGACTTCACCACTATGAGATATGGGCAGTACAAGACCTGAGGAACTAATCAGAAGTCTCTTGAGTCGTTTAACGGGGCTGCGGGAACAGGCCCTAAAAACAGTGATTCCTATAGGGAATGCTTAGAGCAGATGCAATGAAAGGTTTGTCTTAAATTTGTTATCCATGTGCTACTAAAACATTTATTTTGATGTTTTATATGAAGTGTTTCTGAGCGATAAATGGCTAAGAAAGATACAGTTACATCCCTGCTGTAATACATTGTAGATGTGAACTCTGAAAAACCAATTATCCCCATAATTTATTAAACAGCAGCACCAAGCTATTGTAAACAGTGAGATAAGGTTTTTAAAACATCTCTTACACGTCCTGAGGAATGCAACACAAGAGACAATCATGCAAGCGCCTGGTGCTAAGGCATTATAAATGTGCTTAGAGGAGAGAAAAGTAACACACGCAAAAGAAAAAGAAGGAGAGACAGTGAAAGGAAGATTACTGGATGGGAGGCAACGAAAGACAAATATACAGGCATCAGGAAAAATGAGACAAAGCATTTGTGAGTGCATTAAGACCCACAGTACCCTAGCAGGGAACCAGCTGCTGATAGTCAGATATGGAAGAAAAAGAGGAGGACAAAGCATTTGTGAGTGCATTAAGACCCATAGTACCCTAGCAGGGAACCAGTTGCTGATAGATATGGAAGAAAAAGAGGAGAAGAAGGTGAAACAAAGGAGATGCGGCCGGAGGGTTAAAATACACAGCATGCGCCCGGACCCTATTCCCTCTCTGAAGGTTTTACTGAGTTGCACAAAGCAACTGAGAAACCACCTTTTGCTGCTCTCCCTCCCAAAAACTCTTTCCGGAAACACTGGGGTATGGGAAAGGATTTGGAACTGTGGTACATGAAGTGTTACAGAGGAGTACCCAAATGAAACTTGGGCCTGAGAACAGCCCATTCCAACCACTCTCATGTCACAAAAGACTTGATCCAAACTATCACCTCAACACAAAACTCTTCCAGAACCTAAATGAGCAAGGCACCACGCTCCGATACTCCATTTGGTGCCTGACCAAGAACCCCAAGTCATGGAGACAATCCTGGATTCATTCATCCTCCTGAATGAATGAACGAATGGACTTAATTAGCCAACTCTTCATGCACCCCGACAGACCTGGACAGATGACGTAAAACAGAAAAAGTGTTCCTTCCAGATACAGAGCACTGTTACCCCAGCTTCCCTATGGAATAGCTGCACAGGCAGGCTGGCTAAAGGGGGTTTGGCAATATTTAATATCAAAAGAACAAATTCCACAGGCATTTAAATGTATCTGCTTATAAACGTTTTATATGTCTTTTCAATGTGTTTGAAAAGGCTCCTGCCCTTATTACTTCTCCAGGAGCCATTAAATTTAATGATGGCCTAGATCATTAGGTCAGTAAGTCTGACTCCTGTGACAGGCTGCAGAATTTGTGTTACCTTCACCTGAACCCCAACAACTTTGGTTGGACTAAAGCATCACTTCCAGAAAAGCACCAGCCTCCCCTCAAGGGTCTCCACACTGGAAGAATCCTGGCAGCAGGAGCACCTGTACCTATACCTCATGAGCCTATGCCTCATTTTACGTCTGGATGTGTCTGGATTTAGCTTACATTTCTTTGTCCTTGTTCTGACTTTCACCGCTAGGATGAAAAGACTGCATCTGGTTTTGTTTCCCTGCAAAAGCACTGTAATCAAATTGCCTCTTGATCTTCTTTCTTATAAGCTAAGAAAGCTGCCTGATGGGTATTATTCAAGGATGGCTGACTTCTTCTAACTGTGTGCTTCCTATTGTGTTTGGCTGCCCAGAAAGGACCCATTGTACTGAAGTGCCTGGTGAAAGAAAAAGATGAAACCAGGAAAATGAGCAACTGACTGATTTCACAGTCTGGTTTGAATGCAACACACATAGTAATTAACAGAACGGATGGCAAAATGGAGATCAACACGACTGCAGCAATCAGTCTCAATAACCCAAGGTGTTAGTACTGGCTGCAGTAATATTTTTTACATGATTTTGGCTTTGGCAGCACCTCTTTCAACTATAAACCAGGTTCTACTAATATTTTCCATATTCCTCACACACTAAAGATTTTTAACACAAACACCACCAAATGTAATCTGAGCTGTTCTAGGACAGTCATGTGGGAAGAGCTCCTTTGGATATAATCAGAAAACTCTTTTCTGTTAGCACCGCTCAAAAAATCACCAACTACTGATATTCCTATTGATGTTTTCATACTAGGACTTCTATCTTCCCAACCACTTTTAAGCAGTAAGTAACCTGCGTGCACAGCATGGCAGCACTGGAGACTTTGAAAACAGCCGTGTCAAGCATAACGTTTTCAGTTTTCTTAGAAATCACTGTTCTTTTAAAAAAGATTTTTCAGCTAAAGCCAAAGAAATCTTCCTTTCCTTTCCCCCCTTCTCTGCCCTCAGATCTCCAAAACTGGAGAAACCCTTATGGCTGAAACTATTGCCATGAAAAATATCCTTAGGATCTTTGGAGATCCATGAGCAACAATATTAAGTTAATAGCACTTTGCTGGCAATATCGTTCTTCTGTTGAAGCTTCCTTTGGTGGTAAAATAGATCAGAGGTTCATGAGAACAAAAGGTCTTCTAGGAGCTCCAGCTAGGGACCATTGTGTGATGACGTGCAAAGCCTCACGCTGAAGCCACTTCAAACAGCAAGAGCATCGAGAGACTACCCTCATTTTCAAAGGTCTCATCCACAGTTCTGACAATCATTGAGAATATTTTGAACAATTCGGTGGCTAAAAGCCTAAATTTCCTTTCGGGGGACCAAAAACTCCTATCTGTTCTTTTGCAAGAAATTTCCAATTTGGCTTACTAGCTTAAAGTCTGGCAAACGCGAGAAACCTCCAGGAAACACTAGCTACCCACAGCACACAACCAAGCTACCTACAGTACACAACTAAAGACTCTCTGCATTCGATCTACCAGAAACAACTTAGCAGTACAGCAGCAGAAATTGTCTAACATTCACTTCATTATGTTTGAATCAGACCCTGCCTGTATGGGCCATTGCAACTGCCAATGACAGAAAACCCTAAAGTTTTCATCAAAGCCCTGATACCCCTGAAGCTACTCAGTGTATCTTGAATACCAAGGATTTTGCAAATAATCTAAGTCTAGGTAAAATCAATAAAAATGTTGTAGTTGTCTTCTTCCAAAGCTATTTAATCATCCAGTGATATTTTGTACTCTTGAAGACAGGATTCAGAAAGGGCCCTGGAATTGTTCTGGATTTAAGGACGTCTCGTGAAGTCTCCTCCTGATTATGGAAAGAAAGGGTTTAAGTCATTCCACTGGTGTTAGTGACTTCTATCTCAAATATTTGGCACAGAAAGCCACCTGATCACACTAGTTCACCCTTTCAGTGCCTCAAGAAGTATTGCGGCAGAGCTGATGTGGAAGACAAATCAGATTATATGAGCTGTAGCTTTGTACCGACCTTTGAGGAGCACCGTTAATAACTGGCTGCCGCTTGGACTTCGTATCACTGATCACAACCCTTTGGATTCAATTGACCAGCCAACTTCCCAATCATCACGCACACATCCAATCCACATCTCCACAGCTTGGTTATAAGGACGCTATGGGAGACTGTGTTGAAAGCCTTGCTAAAATCAACATAAATAACTTCCACTGCTTTTCCCTTAACCATTAAACCAGTTACCTCATCACATCAGGCACAACTCGCCCTTCGTAAATCCATGCTGGTTCTTCCCAGTCACCTATTGGTCCTGCAGGTTCTTGGAAATGGCTTCCAGGAGGATTTGCCTAATAACCTTCCCAGGAACATCAGGCTGACAGCCTGTAGTTACTCAAGATTCTCCTTCTTGCCCTTCCTGAGGAAGGGTGTGATGTTTGCCTTTTCCCAGACATCAGGAAACTTCCCTGATCATCATCAACTTTCAAACATGACAGAGAGCAGCCTTGCAATGACATTGGCCAGCTCCCTCAAGCAGAGCTGGCTGCATCCCATCTGGTTCCATGCACTTGTGCACATCGAGTTTGCTTATAGTGTCTCTAGCTCCCTTTCCATCTACTGTGGGCAACACTTCACCCCCTCAAACAGTAACAGGGACCTGGGAGGCCTGAGAAGCAACCCTTGCTCGCAAAGGCTGAGGCAAAGACGACTTCGAACACCTCAGCATCATCTATCAAAAGTGAAAGGCAGTCTTCTAAAGCATCCACAGTGAAAAGACTTTCTTTGAAATGCAACCTCATAAATAAGCAATGGTGTCTGTGATGGGAGGTTAATATTCCTAGAGTTCAGCTACTGGATTTGGGCAGCTCCCAAAATTTCATTTAATGAAGGAGTCCAGGAATACTCATCTTTCTTATTTTGATTAACTTGGCTTCATACAAGACCCAGGAGATAACCCTCCGCACACGCTGGTACTGTTTATGTCCAAAGTCCTGCAAAAATGGGTAAGTCCAAACAGCCCCACTTACAGCCCTTAGAAATGAAAGCCCTTAAAAAGCATAAAGCCCCTCAAGGATTTTATGTAAAATTGGGAAGCCAAATCTAGATGTAGGCACTGAACTTAATGCATCTGTAAGAGTTGGATGCCTACAGCTTCGACTGGCCCTCGTGGGAATTCAGAAGATCGGGCCTGACATTTCTAACTCATCATCACCAATAAATCAGGTTTGACTATTTCCACAGAGAGCCAGCAGCGCTGATGGGAAGCGACTGCCATCACGCATTGCAGACACATCTCTTCGGACAACCTGAACTGTTTATCTTCTTTGCAAGGCTAGTGTAATTGATTCTGCGCTGGTCACTCATGACAGCAGAGTAAACTAAATGCAGGTTGCCCTAGGTCTGAGATAATGCTTTCCTGGCAGTGCATGATTTGGCATTTGGGCCAGTGGGAAAAACAGCCTTCTCTTCACCATCCTCCTCCCTCCCCTTTGCTCTACCCTACTGCAGCCGTCACCGCAAACAAACAACGTTGTCAAGATCCAAGGAGTTGTCAGTTTACATCAGAAGGAAGGCGGTGACACAACATGTCACATTACAGCACAGACGCTCCAGCTGGCTGTAGAGCTGTCATCATTAGCTGCAAGACACCATTGGGAGCTGGTGTGGCGGGAAGTTGGTGTAGACAGGCGTTTGCTCGTTATGGGTCTCTGTTTAAGATTCTGGAGCGCAACTGACTGTCATACCTGACGTAATGTGTCACGTGCCATTTGTGCATCCCAGGGTATCTGATTTCACGAGCATATTTTCTTTTCTGCTTCTGCACAACCAAATGCAATCAAAACCCTGTTATGCTTCTTGATGAAGCAGCTCAAGCAAACTCAGGAAGGAAAAAAAGAACGAAGTCCTAGGGTAGCCAAGCAGTCTTAGGGCATGTCAACCCTTTGTCACCCACTCTTAGAAGTACTCAAACTACCCACAGGCAAGCTGGTATGACCAGCCAGCACTGCTCTGTGAACAGAGCTCCAGCCTCAGAAGCCAGATAGCTACAGCAAGAAGGTGCGTCCAGCCCCATGAGCTCTGTCTCCTCAGGAGCCAGAGGACAATGCCACAATGAATGAGAATACACTTCTATGCTTAGAAGTCACTCCAAAACATGCTGTCCCAGCTCCGAGCCTGTAATGACCCATTCTGTGGCTTGATAAAGTTGAAAGACGCTACTTGACTCGCTGAAGAGCTGAGATTGCTGCCTCCTGGGGTAGCCATCATACAGGAACACGTACACAGCCTGTGACTGGCTGACCAACATAAAATACAAAACCTCCTTGCTGGAAAGCGTTGGTATAGAATCATAGAATCATAGAATCATTGAGGTTGGAAAAGACCTCTAAGATCATCGAGTCCAACCATCGACCCAACACCACCACCCACTAAACCATGTCCCTAAGTGCCTCATCTACTCGTCTTTTAAATACCTCCAGGGATGGGGACTCA